ATGACTCCCTCTGTCTATCTATGACTCCCTCTGTCTATCAATGACTCCCTCTATCTATGACTCCCTCTGTCTATCTATGCAATCCAATCTTCTTTATTTTAAATACCCTTTTTACTACCTTATATTCTGATTTGACTATATTTCTCTTTATCTAAAACTATTATCAATGTGAATTTAAACATGCTGTTGTATGATTTTGAATGTATTCAAGTATTCTGAGTTTCTTTCGGGACGATACCTTGCTTACCTTCCAAAAACATAAAGGACATATAACCATTACTGTTGTATTACATCATTACGGCAGCTCGGTGTACTATATTACACAGCAAGATAATATCCATGCATCTGTCTTATATAGTACAGGGGATTTAAAAAAAAAAAAACCTAAAGCCCAGTCCTGAAGGATGTAGCCAAAGATAAAAAACAGCAGGACCCACAAAATCCACAGGAAATGTCAGATAGGGACGGCAGACGTGAGTTAGGGCCACGTCGTCTAAGTCCACTGAACCTGCCGGGCTTAAAAAAAACGTGACTCTCACCACACTTCAGTGCTTAATGTATGGATTCGACATTGTATCCCGGCAACCGAGACGATTTGGGATTCTCCACATATTTGAATTGCAATCGCATTCGTGGACACGGGCTGGCTGGCCACAGAAGTGTATGGGTTCGCCAGACCTCTGTGTGTCTGTGTATCGGGATCTATGTGGCGGTACTTGGACGTTTCAGTGAAAACAGAGATGCATATGCCTGTCTCTCTGGCCTGCTGGCCTATAGCCTGGGTGTGTAGGGAAAAATACACAAAATTACATCCATCCATCCGTCAGCCATCTTTCATAACTGCCTATAACGTTAGTCTCAGAAACCTCAGGGCACACAGGGTAGGACAGACCCTGCATCGGATTCCAGCCCATGGCAAATAAAGTTATAGCTTAAAAAACAGCAATGTGTTGTTTTAATCACATTTAATATTCACCTCAGTACAATGGCTGGCATTTCATATGACAAGACAAAAATGAGTTATTTCAGCTGCCTGTCAGGACCGCGGCATGTCGTCTCCAGAACAAATGTGTGCGTGTGCGTATTTGTTCAGGTTCAACAGAAATGTCAGGATGAGTAGGAGCCGTGACTCTAGAGGCCCCTTCCAGTGAGCCGGGGGGTGGGGGGGGTGGGACAGGCCCCAGCTGCTGCCCCCCCTCTCCCGCTGGCCTGACAGACTCCCCTGGCTCTGCCGTGATCCGCGTGCCGTCGCTCTCGATCCGTCAGATCCGTTCCGCTTTCCTTCTCCTCATCAGCCATCGCGCGGAGCCCTGTCAGTCACTTTTAGGTTCAAACCGGGCTCAGTTTCGGGGCTCATCTCCTCTCTCCCCTTGCTGGCAACTCTGCTAATGCTGGAAAACTCAGTAATATGTCCATAAATGGCTCGATCCTCTTTTGGATTAATTTTATCCATCTGTCTTCCAACAGCTTCAGTCCAGGCTCTGGGGGGGGGGAGTGTGGAGCGTATCTCAAGCAGCACAGAACACCCTGGATGGGATGTAGTTCATTGTATCTCTCACACACACTACTGACATGCAGTGTTAAACTGCAGGAGGAAACTCATGTAACAAGGAGAACATCCAGACTCCAAACACACAAATCTGGGGTGGAGTGCAAATCCCTAACCCTGGAGGTGTGAAACAACAGTGTCACTCACATAAGCACCATGTCGCCTGAGGATTCATATTTAACCACCCTGGGGCCTTGCTGCCAGCAGTAAATGCTGTTAATTCACTGCCATGCAAAAACCCGGGAGGGAAGATTAAAAACACAGATGACAACCAATGAGGAGTCCTGGCCGACATCAGGACACACCTACAGATGACAGCCAATGAAGAGACTCGGCTGACATCGGGCCACATCCACAGATGACATCCAATGAAGAGACTCGGCTGACCTCGGACCACACCCACAGATGGCAGCCAATGAAGAGACTCGGCTGACATCGGGCCACACCCACAGATGACATCCAATGAAGAGACTCGGCTGACATCGGACCACACCCACAGATGGCAGCCAATGAAGAGATCCAGCAGACAACAGGCCAAACCCACAGATGACAGCCAAAGAAGAGAATTGGCCAACATGGGCCACACCCACAAATGACATCCAATGAAGAGAACTGGCTGACATTGGGCCACACCCACTGCTTCAGGATAAAGGGGGTCCAGGGAGCCGACGTGGGGTGAGGACTGAGTTCTGCTGAGAGACTCCCCCTCCCATAGAGACTGTTGCTGTCCCTGCCACTCAGAAGATCTATTCAGAAGGCATTAGACAAATAACAGTCCTGCTGCCCCTCAAAAGTAGAATAAGTCATTTAATTATGCGTTTCATCTAAAAATATCTGTTAGTAAAGTGTTATGGGCAATTATCTGAAAAATTCACAAATCACCATCCTGCTTGAGAGCCGAGTTTCTCAGACCAATCCCCGGGGACCCCTACACAGTCCACATTTTTGCTCCCCCATGCAGTCTACGTTTCTGCTCCCCCACGCAGTCCACGTTTCTGCTCTCCCACACAGTCCACGTTTCTGCTCACCCACGCAGTCCACGTTTCTGCTCCCCCACAAAGTCCACATTTCTGCTCCCCCACAAAGTCCACGTTTGTGCTCCCCCACAAAGTCCACGTTTCTGCTCCCCCACGCAGTCCTCGTTTCTGCTCCCTTGAGCAACACCGCTTTAGAACACACAGCACCACTTCAGATCACACTGTTTTCTCTGTGAATTCTTAAAAATGGCTCCCATCTCCAGAACCTTCCTTGAAGAGATGAACGTTTATTATTGCGTAGTCCCCGGGAAAAAAAATCGGAACAAATCCTTACGGTGAACTTCATGCACTGAACCACGTTATAAGAAATTCGTTCATTTGACTCAGCGACATTTATTTGACTACGCTTGCTAGATAGCAGTAATACAACCAATACATCTACTACACATCTGCCATTAACTACAAGCAATACAGATGACCAAAGATTGTCTATACTCCGATAACAAAGAACAGAATTATCTAAACATTCATGCTGCATTCATGATCCTATTAATAAATTGTTTTACTGGCGTTTTAAATACATATATTTGAAGAAGGCAATTAATGAACGCGTGACAATTTTCAAACAGTACAAGCAGTTATCATTCGGCTCCAAACAGTAATTATGCTACACGTCACACCTCTCAAATATTCTTAAACATCCATATGGCTGGTATGCAAAATCCACTACATGCTGTGAAGATTTACACTAAATTATGTGTAAGTCTTGAATTATGCAATGCTAATTATTAATTCAACTCATTATTTAATTCCAATATTTAAGTTCAAACGTTCCAAAGCACACGTTTCTCATGCAAAGGCTATTGTACTCCAGAATACAGTTATATGGACACACTTAAAAAAATACATTTAAATCATGTGTGTCACAATAAATGCATCACAAAATAAAAACAGAGCAAAAGACGTTTAAAATGCTAGCAAATCAAAATGAGCGTTTCCTACTTTTGCACATTTTATTATGTAGTGTCATTTATGTTTAGAGATCAGCGTTAAAGCGTTTCAGGAAGTGGGCAATTCTGTATATCAATTAAATTAGATTATCGGTTTTTCTAACGATCGCCGAAGGGCTTTGCTTACCTCCCACAGTGGAAACCAGGAGACAGAATGAAAGAGCCCCAGCAGTAAGCGTCACCATGTCTGCTCAATCCGTATAAAAGTTACTGCTTTTAAGGATATTTGTTTTCATTTGCAAAGTATAAGCTATATAAAAATACGAGCAAAGCAACTGCCGTTTGATCCTCTGACCATTTTAAACAAAGTTGCATCTGTGCACTTTTCCAACTTCTGTGTCTTACTCCCGAGATTCAAGCACGGTGGCAATGGCGGTAGTGTCACCGAGAAAAATAATATCGCAATAAATATTGCAAGCTGACGTGCGGTCTTGGGTTATGATCGCGCTGCGGCTCCCGCCCAGAGCACGTTTGCAGAATCAGATAAGATTCATGGTTTAATCCCATCCTGGCGCCTATCAGCTGACAAATGTTAGAGGTATTAGATATCAATTTACCTTGATGGAGAATATGTCACTTATCGGTCACGTTAAGGTCATAGCAAGAGAGACGTAAATTAATGCAAGGGTGGATTTCTGACATAATTGTTAATATGCGGTTAGAGTCATTCATGATTTATTAATACGATTCAACCAGTCCGGTGAAAATTGGCGGGTCATACCCTCACCTCTGTGTTCCTGGAACCACGTGATTGGGGCAGGACATTTTGGGGACACGAATTAATAATTTAAATTCAAAGGTCTCTTTATATGAGGGGATGAATGAAGCCAAATTAAATATTTGCTCCCCCCCCCCCAGTTCCTACACCTACTGAAAAAACATAAAAATCCATTATCTTTTTTTTCTACGTGGGGGGGGGGGGGATTTTAGCTAAAGTAATCAATTAATTCAGTTTTATCATCTTCACCTTTAATTTTAGTTTTCTACCAGATGTTCTGACTGTAGAAGTTGCACTGTCAAAAAAAAGAGTTA